ATGAGCCCTGAATAATTGAATACCTATAAAAAGACAACTCTGGGCAAGTGATGAATAATGCCAGCTATTTTCCTACAATTGCTGTGTCAGTAGGAGTTCTTGTAGATGCCCTCTGGATGCAGCTTCATGTTACACTTAATCCAATCTAACTGTGAGCCACAACCAAAAGATGAGGTAATATTCCCTTTTTCCCAGCACACGCTGGGAATGGGAACATGATTGCCTCTTTTCTTGTCAGCCTTCAGTTACATTAAAGTTAATAAAACTTGCCATTTTGGCCTCTGAAAGCAATTATGCAGATTTGTGCCTATTTGCCACCTCATTTGGCATACAATATTTCTTCTCCCTTGTTGTCTCTGCAATTTTATAAACCGAGGGATTTCAGTGGAAAAGATCATTTCTTACAGTGTAGAGTGTTAAGACTTTTATCATTTGGATTATTTTACTGGGAGATAAACAATAAAAGAGCATGCAGAATGGCTCCAGGCAGCTTTGAAAAGACCAAAACCTTCAAGACTACAACTAAACAAATAAAACATGTTCAATGCATTTGGAGTAACATAGCTAGGACATAAGTTTATATAACAAAACATACACTGCAGTTCTCAACTAAGCTGAGGCCTCTTCTGATTTTGAGTACTATCCTGATTAACACAGCTTTTTTTTATATCTTATCTTTTCACTTTGTTGTCTATAACATTACTACATGAACAGTTTATTCTGATAATGAAATAAAAAGTTCATATGAAAATTCCTTTACCATTCTCAGTCTTGATTCTTTAGGGAAATTCTGGATAATTTAAAAAAAAAAATATATATTTTTGCTGTGTTGATATCAGCAAAAATAGATTGATGTTTAAGACGCCTGCTATGTTGAAAGTGGCTCTGCCACTCTAAATAAATATATTTAAATGTATTTTGAGGTAATTATGTACAATACAAAGGGGTTGGAAAAGCATTCTCCTCCCCTTTGTCTTGCAGCAGGAACATCCTAGCAGAAAAGGCTCTGAAAGGCTTTGGAGTGGAAGGTATGAAGAAGTCTATAGGCTAACAAGACATGCATCACAAGGTCCTCAGAGCACCAGCTGCTGCTTTTATGTTCAAAATGAGGATTATATTTGAATTTGCGTCATTAACAGCACAAGAGACCAAAGGAATAATATACAAATAAATAGGCTCTTGTGGATCCATGAGAAACAGGGACCTAACTTACAGGCTATTTTCTTATGTAGAGCTTCTACTGTCCCTTTTCCCCTTGTTTTTGGTATCAAGGGAGCTCCAGCTATTGTCAAATGAAAGAATATCCCAGAGTGTGAAGGAAAAACAGATGGCACCAGTTCATCTGCTGCCATTTGTTCCCATGATGGGCTATGGGTTTGGAAGGTGTGTAATTACTTCAGGACCAGTGACTTTTGCCCAACAAAACTCATGAGGACTCTTCTCCCAGACCAAGTTGTACTGCTGACAACTTTTTATCTCATGATCACATTTCTATTTCAGTCTCTGCTTCACCTCAGCCTTCTGAATTTTACTGGGTGAAGGTAGGCAGCATATGGTCTAAATAATTTTGATGTGTACAAAACATAAAGCATTAACATTTCCACTGCAGTAGATAATTCTGAAGTTGCTCCATGGAGGCACAATAGTTCGCAAAGAAGCTATTGATGATCACAAGAAAGACAAAGACATATTTAGTAAGCCTACTCATGAAAAGAATGAAAACACAACAGAAAAGAAATAGAACAGCTTGCATAATATTGTCTCCTCCACTGTTTACATAATTTGCTTAATAACATGAATACAAGACTAAAAATGATCATAGCTGTCATAGTTTGAAATTGGCCCCCCTTGAGAGTTCGAGGGGCTCAGAGGGGATTGGGTGCCAGGGCAGTGTTCCCTGGAGAGCCAATCGCCACTCATGTTGTTCGTTTCTGCTCAAAAATCATATATCACAGCACCATAAGCTGCTGGCAGTGCAGTCTTGGTTGTTTTGCTGTTGGTGTCTGCTGTGTGTAGGTGGACAAGGCCAGGGGGTGGCTGGGCTCCCTCTCTTGCCCTCCGGGGGGGAGAGGGGAGCCCTGTGACCCCCCAGCTCAGCCTTTGGCTAGAATTAGAGTCAGCATTTGGAGTGTGTGCTGTGAAGGAAGGGATTCACACCTGAGGTAAGAGAAGAGAGGCAGGCTTTGCAGCCAAGCCTTCTTCCCCCTCCTTTTCTGCAGTGAAGCTGTAGAGGGGGGCTTTTCTTTCCCTCCACTGTGAGTGGAGGAAGGGCTCAGAGTTGGAGCTGAGCCAGGAGACTGGGCCGTGGAGGTAGGCCCGGCGCTCGGGAGAGGAGTCCCAGGCGAAATTGGAGACGAGCCAAGAGCTCGAGAGTTGCCTGCTGAAGCTGACCGGAGGCAGCTGAGAACTGATGTGGAGGAATGAAGATTCCAGGACGCGTACGCTTGATAAGCTACACTGCAGCAGCCTACGAACCGAGGTGAGACACCGAGAGGGAGAAACCACACAGCAGCAGAGGAGCAAGGACTCAAAGCTATCTTCTCGGACTTCATGAGGAGGAGAGACCACAACAAAGAACTGCTGGAACTTGGTGAGGAGGGAGTGTTCAGGAGCAAAAGACTGTGTTACATATCAGCCTTAAAGGCTCCTCCTGGACTAAAGTTAAAGGAGGGGCTTGAAAGGACTGAGTGATAGTAATGTAATATATATATATATATATATATACATATATATATATATATATATATGTATATATATATATATATATAGTTGCCTTTAGTTTGTATAGTATTTATTTGTGTAAATAAATGTATATACTTACCCCTTCCCCTACAGAAGCCTCTGGCCTTAAAGTTTCTCTCCAGTGTTAGGATAAATTGTTGAGAAGGGGTGGGGGAAGCTTGGAAGTTGGATTTTAGATTTCTAATGTGGCTCAAACTGCTACAATAGCCTATTCTGTAAATGACTGTGGACAATAAATCTAGCAAGTCAAAGTATTTAGAAAGGCTCCAAAGTGGAAAAGCCCCCTGAACATAAAACATAGCATGAGGGGGTCCAAGGCTTCATTGATCACCCTTCATTATCCTGAAGAGCAAAGCAGAGGCTGATGCCTTTTCCTGCCTCTTCAAAGGCCACGGGTGGGATCCTTCAGATGCTAGTGGTGATCCCTGAAGTGGTTTCTGAGGTGATGATACTGACTTTTTCATTCATATTTAATTTCCTTGCCCTTTTAAACATCATAACTATCTCTGCATAATATTCAGACACATATAAAACATTCAACTGCACACAACTTATTATCTCCTGTGAATGTTTATCTGATCGTTAGGATAGCAAGGGTTAAGTTGTCTTGATTTCAGTAACTTTATTTAGCATGGCCAGAAGTGTTAACTTCACAATGCTTCATTTTGTTCTGTAGAAGACTAGTCACTAAATCAGTTTGTCATTAAGCAAATATGCGAACCCAATTAGATCTCAATAGTTGACCAGTACCTCTATGGACTGGGAAATCCAGAGGAAAAGTGAATCTTCCTTGCAAAACCAATCAATCATTTCATTCACCAATGACTTGCACATCATAGATTTCAACATGTACTTTTAACCTGTGATCAAATATAGTACTGTAAATCACAATTGCAGTCAACACTAAAAGTTAAATTAAGACTTTTTATTTGTTCCTAACTATCATCTCTAAAATGTTTTGTGTTTTTTTTTTTTTTAGATGATACTCTGAACTTTTCCAAAGGGTTCACGATGTGCTGAGATATAGGAGACTCCAACAGAGTTGAAAAAGACCCTCAATTACAGTGTTTCTGTTTTCCGGAATTAACAGCAGGAATGATACAAGAGATCTGCAGCTAGTAAATTTAATGTGTCATAAGTTGGGTAAGAACCCCAGGAATAACCCAAGTGTCTCCACACCTGAAATATGTCTAGATCGTCAGCAGGTATACTCCACAACACAACCCTTGTTTTGGGATCTCTGATTTTTTAGCTATTTTCTGGTATGGTCGTATTTCTTTTTAATGGAGACTTCAATGTAGGGATAGCGAGATAGACAGGAATGGTCTGCACACGAGTCCGGGACCCAACATGAAGTCAGGACAGTTTGGATGCTGACCCAGGAACTGTGAAGTACTCCCAGTCATGAAAAAAATTTTAGTCAAGCTAAAAATAACAGTTAGCATTTTTATTCATTGCAGTGATTTTTTACATTATTTTTATTCAGTTTGAGAAACGCAATCTTCTTATTGTCAATTTGTGATAAAATAAAAAAAAACAGCTTTAGTTTTGGATGTGCAACACCATGTACAAAGCGGAACATAATCCATTATGTAGAGCATTATGTGCACTGAGCTTCATGTACCATGAGATGCTGCTTTCAAAATCGCCTGAAGCTTAAACATGGGTCTAGGTAATAGGCACATTCATCAAAATTAATTTGAAGCTCTCTTTGCAACGTTAGCTGTTCCAAATGCATAACCAAAAAACCCCAAACAAACAAAAAACCTAACACAGAAAGAAAAGAACAACTCTAGATTTTACACTAATTATCTTCACTTTGTGATGTAAAAAAGTGAGCTCTGCAGTAGCACAGTATTAGTCTGGCTAAACCCAGCACCATGTGCTTGTGTCCTCTCCGCACGTTTTACTGCACTCCGGAGCCAAGCCTGCGCGCCCGGAGTGAAGGCGCTTCATTTTCCAGACGTTCATCACAGCCCTCGGCTGTGGAGCAGCAAACGCGCCTTCCCTCTGCTGGAGCAGCGTTCCTGGGAGCCCAGGCACTGTGCAACATGGCCCGGCGCCCACTAGCGCTGCCATCGGCCGGGTCTCCCGGGGCAGCTGAGCCCCCCAGGACACAGCAGGCCCAGCCCAGCGGGCAGGGAGCCGCTGGCAGCCCGGGGCGGGGCGGGAGGGGCGGCCCGGCCCCCGCAGCCCCGGCGCCGGCGGAAGCCCGGCCGCGCCGCCGCGGAAGTGACGCCCCGCTCTGCCTCCCGCTCCCTCCCCTCCCGGCGGCGGCTCGGGAGCCGGGCGCGGCAGGCGGCGGCCCCGGGCGGGACCATGGCGGACGGCGTGGACCACATCGACATCTACGCCGATGTGGGCGAGGAGTTCAACCAGGTACGCGCGGCCGGCGGGCGCGGCCCCTCCTCTCCGCCCGCTGCCCTCGCCCGCCTTCGCTGCCGCGCCGCCTGCAGGGCCCTCAGCGCGGCGGCCGCGCCGCCGCCATTGTTCGGGCGCTCCCGCCGAGCGCGGGGCCGGGGCGGGCGCGGCCTCACGGCCAGGCCGCGGGGCCGGGGTCGGGCCCGCGGGGCGGGGAGCGCGCCCGGCCGCGCTCAGGGCCGGCTTTGGCGGGCTGGGCGCGCCGGGGCTGAGCGCCTTCCCTCCCTCCCCGCCTTTCTCTCTTCCTGCCTCCCGCCCTCCCTTCCTTCTCAGGGGCCGCTCCAGAGGGCTCTCCCGCGCCGGCTCGGCGACAGGACCCTCCCGGATGCGGTGGGAGAGCGGCCCCTTCCCGGCCGTGGCGGAGGGGAAGCGCTGCCATTGTTCGCACATGAATCAAAAGGCCGCCGAGCGGTGGCTGTTTCTCGGCCGCGCTTTGCGGGGGAGGCGGAACTAGAGCGGCTTTATTTTGCAGCCCCGGAGAAACTATCCTGCTTTTTATATTTTGTTTGGGTTTTTTTCCTAATTCGTTATTATCTTCCAGTTTAAAAAGTTGCGGAAGCTTTTTTAGAGAACGAGCTCGTACTTTGTTCAGGAAGCGTAGATGAAATAAACAAAACTTCCCTAGATTATAAGTAGTCCACTTTTATGGTGCTTTTTTTTTTAACCCCTCATCTTTCCCAAAAAGCCATGTGCCAACTTTCCTACCGAAAGTCGATGTTTATATCAGTTTCGCATGCCATCTGTCCTGTTAGCGAGTCCTGCACTTCTCCAGATTGTGTTGCCCTAGATTGCTTTGTTCCTGCCCTAGAGCATAAATAACCGGGAACAACTGCACTTTCATGCACTTACAGGGCATAGCTATATGCATGCCTGCCTGCCCTACAGAGAACTGGTTGTGGAATTCACAGGTAATTTGGATAGCAACTTGAAACTCTCTCAGAAGACTTTAATTCTTTAGATATTTACTGATACAGTATTTCGAAGTACTAGTAATCTCATAAAGGTATATTATAAAAGAATGCCATACTAAGAGGAGACGATGAAGAGGACTGATTTGCTTTTAGTTTGTCTGCATGGGAAGGTTTCTTCCTTACAGTTGAAGACCCATTATATGAATTTAAATGGGAATGAACCCATAATAACTTTGGTTTGTTTTAATCAATTGTAGGTAAAACTAATAATAAATCAAGTTTTTCAGGGGGAAAACCCCTCATTTGAATCCAGTGGTGTTTGTGAAAACTCCTGTGTGCAGAAGCCCTCAGAGTAGAGTAGTTGTGTGCTGTAAGTATAGTGCAGACAGACCCTGCCAGAACAAAACTGTTGGGGATGGTTAGTTGCGCTCACGTGCTCTTGGTCTACTCAGGTTGTTGTTACTATCGATGTTCTATAGCCATGGTGGCACAGATGAAGAGAGCCTTGCGATAATTTAGTTTACCTTATTCTAGCAGGCAGGAAACCCTTTTGCTTTTTTCACTGTATTTGCCCCAGTTGCTCTCCTGCTGCGTTTGCATTTCTGCAATCTGTTGCTTCAGTTTGTGAACCTTGCAAAATACAGGTCAGAAAGGTGAGGAGAGACTAGTACCCCTTTTCCATCAATTTGACTTTGAGGGTTTTGTTTGTTTGCTTTGGGGGGGTTGATTTTGGTTTTTTGTTTATTTCACACCTCTGCAAAAAACTGCTGTTTGTTCTTTTCCAAATTTCATTTTTGTGACTTTCTATTTAAAGTAGTATTGTTGAACTGAGTGTGTTCTGAGACAAAAGTTTTGCTCTGAGAGATCGACACCTCTGCACTTTCCCTTTTCTTTCTGTCAAATATGAAAGAAGGTGAGTTGTTGCTGCCTTACCTACTACCACTTAATTCTTCATGACATCGTTGCAATAGGTCCTCTAGAAACTTCATGAATTACTGTTTGTAATTTGGAGCCGACAGCTTAAATTGATAAGGTGGAACATAGTTCTGTATACCTGTGGATGGGTGAAGATGATGATTAAGAAATAGGGAGAAAGTGATTTGCATTATTGTTTATGTAGAGAACATTTTACACAACACCATATTTGTAAAGAAAAATTAGCTTTATTTGTAAAGCAATGAACTATTGTTTTTTGATCGTCTTGCACTGCATTAATGTGACTTACTAGTGTTTGTTTGAGTTAGACTATAGGAACTCTTTCCACTGGTTTTTACGGTAGCAGGGACTGAAAAATATGCTGGGTAGCTTTGCTGTTTTTCTATACGCAGTGTATAATTACTTATACACAAGCTGGGACAAAACTTTTTTTTGCATCTATGATAAATGCTTCATTTAGGATTTGTGACTGGATAAACTTCCCTTGGTTGTTTTATCTTGTTCTGGGCCTCAAGATACTCATCCTTAAGGCTATTCTGGGATTTTTTTAATGCCTTTTTTCCAGCAGAGGGAGAGGAGGGATGTTCTGCTTGATTAGTGCTAAATGAACCACAGGTTACAAGTTGAAATAAAGACCCCAGAGCCATGGGTTTACAAGCTGGTTAAGATGGATGACAACAGTGAACTGCTTTGGGTTTCATTTAGTGTTAGTTGCAATGAGCTGACTGACTTGAAGTCAGATCTTTTTAGTGAAAATGCATCATTCCTATTCCATCTGGAGCTCATCAAAGCTGTGTCTGTCAGTGTTGCCTCTTACTCTTTTATTGAGTTATTGTTCATCATAATCGTATTCTTTGTCCTTGGGCTTACAGCTTTAGTCAATTTGGCTCTGACCAGTTGTATTTATCTTTTTTTAATTGTGCTTTCTTTTTTTTCTCTTTTTCTTTGAGAACTTGGTTGAGTCATTTTTCACTTTGTTCTTTTAAGCTGGCTTCCCTGTCCAGCAGTCTTTTCTATTAAAGTCTCATTTTGAGATGATAGTCTCATAAATGTAATACTTCCTGCACACATTGCTTGTGATCTGTAAAAAATAAGTATTTTATGGCATACTTTACTTTGAGCATCTCCCTAGACTTAACGCATCTTGTTCTTCAAGAAAAAGAGATCTGTGCTGCCTGTGGCAACTGTTATCTGCATACAAACGGCTGAGGCTGGCATTCTCTCCATGGCAGAAGACCCACTGTAAGATTAGGGGTGCTTTAGCAAATATTAGGGTGTGGTTTTGTACACAAAAACCTAGAGTATTAGTGCATGATACTGAGATAATAAGGAGCCAGTTTGGGTCTGACTTGAGGCTGCCTGCAACTCTGGCCAGCAAACAGGGTGGCTTTCTTATGGTCCTGAAGATTTGGCCACACGTTGTCGAGTTCTCCAATGCTCTGAATCAGCTTTGCATTTCCTAAGCTTGGGTGTTGTTTTTCTACATGTGCTCATGCATGTCATTAAACAGTAAAAAACTTTTTATCATACACATATAAAAGTCTTTCTGACCAAGAAGAGGATGCAAAAGAATTTAAGGATATCTTATTTTAATGGTGTGGAAAAAGTGCTTGCTTTGTTTATACTCTTAAAGAGTAAACTTGAATAGTTGCATTGTGGATATGTCTAAACATGCCTGTAGTGTTCTAGTTTGATATTTAAATGCTAACAAATTAGCAATGAAAGAGTTTTGACTTTGTATTTTGTAACTGGATAATAAGTGAATTAGATGGAATAAGCAACTAAGAGTCTAATTATCTGAAAACTCTGTGGCTACAGTATCTTAGGAGTGTGTTAGTTGCTCTGTTGACTTCTGGTCTGTAACACAGGAAATTTTTTTTGTGTAATAAATAATAAAAGCTAGCATTTAATGGCCAATTAAAGCTGGTTATTAAAAACAGCCTTTATATTGGGAAGACAACTGTCTTATCATGGGAGGGGATGGACACATTGTGGTATAATAAATTTCTGGTCAGGACGGCTGTCCAGATCATGAAAAACATAAGGTGGTAGACCTACCTGCATTAAAAAATGTATGCACAGTACATTACAGCATCTGTAGTTTGTCAGGGCTGAAAGGGACCCAGGAAAGAGATAACATCTGTATATTTGTAAATATCAAACTACAAAGAAAACTTGAGACCTTCTTATCTGGCACCTCTTCACTTTGTTCTAACTTGAACAGTGATACTACCTATATTTAATTTATACTTTTGACTACTTGTGAATTTTTAGTTATTCTTTGTAACTCTGTAATTACTCTGCAACTTTTAGTTAGAAGACATCAAGTTGCTTAAATTTTAGTGCTGTGCTAGTTGTAGAACCAAGAGCATTTGGGCCTGTAGAGTTAATGTGAATCTCATGGTCAAACAAACTTGTGTACTGTGGTGGATGTTTCTGCCATAGCCAGCGTGCTATTTTAGAAATATAAAAGGCCTTCTTTTTTTGTTAGAGTTTCAGTTTGTGTGTTCAGACAGCTAATCAAGACCAGAAAGATTTTTATCTCTTTAACATGTTATTCTTCAGGACCTACAAACTTTTTTTTTTTAATTTAAAAGTGAGGATACTAACATGTTTAGAGTTTTTGACCACAAATATTGTAACTTGAGTGAGAAAAGTGGTAAGGGAGAACATGGATCGTTTAGTTTTTCTTTATTTTTTTTCCAGAAACAAAAGTAAGTTTCATGAAATTTTAATTACTTCATTTGATTTTTTTAAATGTCTTTTTGGAGGTGTGAGTGTTTGACTCTTAAGTTGAGCAGAGTTGTGTAGAGAAAGCAAGTCTGAGAGATATAGGTACAGCTTAAAGAAATTTTGCTGACAACAACACAAGTCACTTCCAAAACAGCATTTGTAAAGGAAGTGAGCAGTTCTCTGCAACTCAGAGGAGTATGGCTGCTAAGTTCCAAAAAGAAATTACATGTTCAGCTTGTCCCTTCCGAACATGATGTGAAGTTCCATGTGTTCATGGCTTTCATATTGGAATGTTGCAAAACACTGCAAATGGCAATTAAAACACAAAATTTTGAGGAAGGGCTGAGTAACTGGAAGTGTAACAGCTAGTCTGGCTTG